AGAGTGAGAGTGTGAGAGAGAGTGAGAGAGAGTGAGAGAGAGTGACAGACAGTGACAGAGAGTGACAGAGAGTGACAGAGAGTGACAGAGAGTGACAGAGAGTGAGAGAGAGTGAGAGAAAGAGAGAAAGAAATAGAAAGAGAGAGAGTTAGAGAGTGAGAGAGTCAGAGAATGAGAGAGTGAGAGTGTGAGAGTGCGAGAGTGTGAGAGCGTGAGAGTGCTCACACGTGCACTGCCCAACAACAAAGATGTAGCTCCTGCTCACGGAACTCAGCCAGGCGCAGGGGGCCCAGAGTAATTTCGCAATCACATGCGATTGACATGAGTTTGAAGGCTTGATGATTCCAGGCTTGATACACTCCAAGACACGAGCCATCATCTCCGATGGGATTGTTTGCGAGAACTAAGGTGTGTAGGTGCCTCACACAGTTCAATTCTGTCCACAGTCTAAATGCGGGGCAGCTGCTGAAGGAACCGACAATGCCTGCACTGGAAAATGAAGACACTCAGCCTTGTAGCCCGCATTTCAAGCTGCAGGTGCAAAGGGGCGACGGAGCATCTGAGAAGCAAACAGCTGTGTGACTTCGGACTTCACCTTCTTGGACACTAACTCGATCTGCTCGCACCTGCAGATAGAAACAGTGGCTTTTTACAAAAGCTCGCACAGAACGAGTTTGCCGCCTCTTCTTTAGGCTCTTGTCCTCAATCCACTGTTGCACAGTCTCGAGGCCAAGGGCCTTGCGGGACTGAGCGGAACAAACTGCTTGTAGGCCTAGCGGCCGGAAGCCTCGCCATCGTAACGCAGGGTGTTGTGAGTGTGCATGGCCCACCTGTAATGCTGGCCACAGTGTTCGATCGCAGCCAGAAAGATCTGATCGAGCATGAGACTCTGACGACCCAAAGCAATCTTTGGGGATCAACCTCCAAAGACTCCGAGCCAGATGGCAAGGAAGCGTGCACAGATTCCTCCTGTGGCTCGGTGGATCCAGAAATGAGCCCAGAATCCACGAAGCTGCACCAGGTGTCTGGGCTGCTCAGCTGCACGTCAAGGACAACAAGTGCATGAACAGAAGTAAGCACGGCACGGTTGTGCATGCCTTTAGGAATGTGAATCCTTGAAGCAGCCTCTAGCATATCAGAGGGATTATTCCGAAAACTTGCTCATGGCCAGCTGGGCCTTGAAATCCAAAAACCTTTTTACACGCCTTCTTAGCCTGTTCAGGGAGATACTGGTGCTTTGCACCGGTGTCTGGGAGATCCATTCGTCAACTACAGTATACACTTAAACACTCCGGCCACACTGCTGGCTGATGTCTTACAGGACCTCTGCACGAACCACAGGCAGCCGTCCCATGAACCAGCACAGTGTGAGACTGCAAAGCTACTTCGTGAGCTCTGACTCCCAAGGGTATTAATTTCAAGATCCATGAAAGACGCCCTGCCAATCATCGCAATTCCACGTCCTGGACAAGGCCGGTTAGGCAAAGCTCCAGTGCCTTGGATTTTGCGGCCGGGCCCTGCCTTGGCTTGTGGGTGGCCCCTAGCATTTAGAAAGGCCCTGAAGGCCACAACCTGGCCAGGGCCAGGGCCAGCCTGAGCTGAGCGCAGGGCGCAACTTCCCCAGACCTCCCCAGACCCCCGGGCCGGCCTCGCAGGTCGGTCTTTGGAGGGCATCCTTGGCCAGCAAGAAGACGTCTTCCAAATATCCCAAGCTGGCCAGCTCCTGCGAACTCTTCCAAAAAGCAAGTGCTGTCAGGTGCCGGTAGAGCCCCCGTTGCAGCAAGGAGCCTACGAGTAACCGTTCAAGGCCACTGCGGCAACAAGGCAACGTACAAACATCAGCCCACAAGCCAGAGGAGGCAGAGGCCTCGCTCACAATGAAGCCAAATCCTTTTTCGGCATTGAAGGCTTTGATCCTGGCACACTTCGTACCACGGAGCACTTACTGCAGCAGCCGCTGACGGCCCCTAATGTCTCCATCTGCTGCCCGGATCCTTCCCATGAAGTGTCCGAGCTCGGCATTAGCATCCTCTCACCAGGTGCATTGGGCCCGACAAGCTGAAAGCATGAAACAGAAAGCTGAAAGCTGATCTTTTTGAAGACACTAGCATCACCACAAGAAGCATGAGTAGGTCCGAACTTCTCAAAGAACCCTGTCGAAACTCCTGCCACTTTCTCTTTGCGCTTGAAACCAGCGTGTCTCCCCGAGGGCCACAAAGGCCGCCTGCAAGTCAAGTGAGCTCTGCTTTGTCTTCAGATACTGATACTAATAGGCAAGTGGGTATAGCATCTCGGCACGAGCATAGCCTGCATACGCCTCTCCAGGCAGGCCGACCATGCGGCCGGTACTCATTGAGAAAATGGCAGTGTGGGCTGTCTGTGCCAGCCTTGTCGATGCTGGCAAGGACTCGAGATGCGACAAGTACAGAGGTACGTGAGATCCCAGCACTCCATCCAATGGCTGAACGTCAAACCTTGACAGTAACTAAGTATGGCCAGCCGTGATGGGTTACTTTCCTCCTACATGTGTTTCAGCACCTGGACAAGGACCTGGCGCCTGCGGCTTGTTCTCCTGCCAAAGCAAACTACGTGCTGGTGCTGACTGGTAGTGTCATATTGTGCGGCATGGCTGATATGCAGCAGCTGAATCCTTGCCCAACGCCACAGCAAAGGTCACCGGAGTCCTTCATCTGCACAGCTTCTGTAATGCAGCCCTTCATGCTATTGTGTCAAGACGGAGTGTTTGGTCCCTGGTGCCAGCACGGCGGCATATGGTCTCATTTGCTTCGAGTGCCTTGGTGCTGACGCTACCTCCGTGTCTGCCAGCAATCGTCCCCTTGTGACTCAAGCTGAGTAACACGAAGATGTCCGTCTCGAACACCTATCGGCCGGACGCAACATTTGCACCGAACACTCGCTGTCTCAGAAGTAAATCCTGCGGCACAGCCTCAAAAAGCTCCGGTGACGCTATGAAGCCAAATCCGGTTTTCGTTGAAAACGACCTGCTCGACGAAGGAAAAAAAAGTCAGCCGGGATCTGTGCCCTGCGAGTAGGGGCCGCATCTGAGGCCAAGTCTTCAGGATGCCACAGGCCCGCTGCACCTCTGGAAAGCTGCGACGAGTCGCCCTCACCGGCACCGCGCCTGCTTCCACGACTAGTGCTGTCCAGCATCGCTGAGACCTCGCGCAGGTGCATAAGTCCTTGGTTGTGTGAGACTTCACACCAAGGCTTTACTGGTGCACATCGATGCTGGGGGACTACGGGAAAGAGTTGACCCGGCAACAACTTTAAGACGCGAAGACCTGCCAAAAACGAGGTGATATCTCAAGGAAAAGGAACAAGCCCAATGTCGAAACGTTTCCGTTTGCCTTGAAGTAGGAAGGCGGCATGCGAAGGATGCATGAGACCATAGATTGCAATTGTAGGTTCCGGACAAGTTCGGAGACGCAAATCCGACAATTGACCTCACAGCACTTACCATACTTCCATGCTCACCTCGAGCATTTCCTGCAAGGCCACGACGGTGCGACGAGGGGCCGGGCTTCCAGCAGATCTCCGACCACCTTGTCTCGTCAACACCAAACTTGGACTCGGCAGATCCGGGCAGAGCCATAAAGGCTCATGGTTCCCGGCCCTTCTACGTAATGTGAACTCTTGGGAAATAAAGGCCCCATGATAAAAGCAACCCGTGCCGGCCTCGGACCTGGCTGAAACCATGTTTTAAAGGCGCTGGCCTATGCCACCAGAATCACCCCCCTGTAAAAAAAACCTTGCCAAAACCCCCTGCCCAAGCATCTCCAAAAACCAGGCAATTTGCCTGCAGACTTAGAAGGGGTTCAGGGTTCAGCGTGTTGAATTTAGAGGTTTAGGGTTTGGGGGCAGGTTGGGGTCCAGGGTTTAGGGTTCAGGCTTTGGGAGGAGGGTCGGATAGCCTCTGCAAGGCATGTCGCCCATAAGGGTGAGCCTCTACATGGTTGGCGTTTGTCTAATGACTGCGTGTTCATCTTTCGGGTTTCGGATTCAGGATTTAGGGTCTGAAGCGTCGGCTCGAGCAAGTGTTGGGTGGCGTGGGCCTACTTGTACTACCCAACCCCAGTTCGAACGCTGCCTTTTGATAGCCCGTTCGACCATACCTCACCCTTCAGCAGTTACAACACTGCGCCCAGCGATATTTTACATCGCCTGCCACCCGATGCATGAAAGCGGTTTCCATTCTTGATATGGAAGCTGCGTATCAGAGGCAAGCTCATGCAATTCTCCGGGCCCGGACGGGATCCGTAACGAGGTTCGAAAAAACTTCCCGGCACAAGCAGGGAGGTGGTTCTGGGAGTTATGCACTAGAGTTGCAAGGCCGAGAGCCACTGCAGTTTAAGCTCGCCCTTATGTGCACTCTACAACCCTGCCTCACTACCCAAAATTATAGATCAATTGCAACTCTCAACGGCATGGCCAAATCATGGCATGGACAGTTGAGGAAAACGCTGGGACAGTCCATATTTGGCAGATTTGACCCAATGCAAAAGGCGGCCGAAGCGGGGTCCCAGTCTCCTTTGCTGTGGCTGCTTTTCGGTCCGCGATAGACCTGAGCCTTCAGCTGGGCCGTAGCACTGCAGTTTTGTTTGTCGACATTCAGGCAGCCTTTTGCGAAGCTACCAGACGGCTCATTTTGATGGTGATCCCGGAATGCAACAGCCATCCGACCCGCATCGTGGCCACGTGGCGGGCTTGGTGCTCCAACTAACACAGGGCGGAGCCCTCTACAACGAGGTCGCCCTCGTACGTGACTGTGTTGAGTTGTCGCATTGGAGCCTTGCAGGCTCGGACAGGACAGGATATTCTTGGCCACCAAAGGCTCTCGCCCAGGAGACTTAGCAGATGTCCTTTTGGGGCGTTGTTCGCGATTGCCTTGAGGGATGAAGGTTGGGGCCATGCTGCCGGAGGTAGCTACATCAGGCGGCCGGATGAAGTTCTGCCTTCGGGGTGGGCAGCAATAAAAGCCGACTTCTCGAGTCCTGGCATGTCCTGGCGAGCTACACCGGCAATTTCCCCGCATCGCCACTGTAGTTCTATCTATACTTCGCTTTCAGCGTTTCAGAGTAAACCTGGGTGAAGGTGAGACAGAGGCTATGGTAGGCACGGGGCCTGTTCAGTCCGGGGAGAGCTTCTCGGCGGTCTGGCGAAGCTGCAGCTCGCGACGGGTGACTGCTTGCGTCTCGACAGGAGGGAAGCTGACCTATGTGCACAGCGCGCAAGCCGCGTGGGCTCATGCGCGGAACATGCTCGTCAGCCCTAGCGTGCATTGGCCTTGGCCTCTCAAGCAAGCTTGGTTATCTGGCAGAGTGCTGCCTGCAGCCTATGCCACCTTAGCCACACTCTCTGCGTGCTACCTCTCCACTTACCAGCTTCTTTGAGCGGGCGGCTCGAGAACTGGTTGGCTCTTGGCAATACGGCCATTGCCTTACAAAGCCGATGTCCGTTGTGGTTCTAGAGCTCTCTGAGGACGCGATGGTTGTAGCTCGGGCTCGTTTGACAGTGCAGCTCGTTTCTCGGGCCTCGCCTGCTGTTAGTGTTAAAGATCTATGTGACGCAGCCTGGGATCGAGGCACTCCCTGGTACCTGCTTCTAGCCGACGCCTGTAGGCAAGTAGCCGACGCCCTTTACTCAAAGCCTGCAAGTTTCTCAGCCGCTGGGGAAGGAAGATCATAGGTGAGAAGTACGAATTCCGATGTGGGCTTTGCCAGGCGGTACACCCGAATTTGGCTACCCATATTCACCGCAAGCACTCAGTCGTCAATTGCCTCACCCACTTCACCCACGGCACAATCTGTCTGTGGTGCAACACAGAAATGTACTCAACTGACAGGTTGAAGTACCATCTGAAGACTACTCCGAGCTGCCTCCATGGTGTGCGAGTTGTGGTTGGTGAAGCCTATCAGTATGGATCGGGCACCAAAAGCAACGAAAAAGCGAGGTCACCTGGGATTGCCCCCATGTCGGCTGTCAGGCCCCTGAAAGCCATGCCCGCTCAGCGACTTGCGGCTGCTGGGGGCCGAGCTTGCGCGGAAGACGAGTTACGTGACGAGCAAAATTTGCCGGGGCTGGTTCCGTCTCGGACTGGCCAGAGCGCGAAGAAGCATGGTGCCCTCGGCACCCGGATCGGATGGTGCCATTCCCAGGCCGGAGTCACCCCAAGTAGCCCGACAAGTGCTAGCTCCAGACATGACTGCTGGCAAGGACCTGGCTGACTCTCTCCGTTCGCGGTCGTTCGTGTCGCCTTCTGAGACTGTTGAAGGGAGTTTTCTTTTCCCTTCGCCTTTCTCGGACGGTATGAAGGGCGGTCTGCAGTTTTGGTCGGTGTGGTTGGCAGCTCAACAGAATCAACCATGGCGATGCTCACTTCGGCGCGCTTTCGGTTCCCTGCGGCACGCCTATGAACAGAGCACCACGGACAAAGGCACTCCTTCAGGGCTGCTTGATCTCGTGGCCGCTACAGTCACTTTCAGACAAGTCTGCCTTGCAGCAGCAGGCGGCATGCTTTGGATGATCGGTACTCCCTCTTTTCTGGGTACCAATCTGCTGAGAATTCTGATGCCTGATGTCAAAATTTTCCGGCTACAGTCGGACGTAGGAGCCATGTTTGTTGCAGCGCACCCAGATCTTCCGAAGGAAATCTGGTGTGCCTCCTTGTGTGCTCCTTGATGTGGTTACTGTCACAGCGGCCGGGCCCTCTCCCAGGATTGTTGCTCGTAGAGCATCCTTTACTTGCAACACAAGCTCGCTGATTGTGGGTTGACCTACGATCGCGCTTGTGTCGGTTTTTCAACTTTGTGTTTCCTGTTCGTTTCGCCTGCACGGGAGCATAGTGCTCTCTGCTTTTGGGCCATGCACGACGTCGCGCCGGACGTTGACCGACTAGTGCTGAAGTGAAGTGCAGTTTAGGGTGTAGGGTTTAGGGTTTAAGAGGGTTGAACGGTTCAGGGGTTTAGGGTTGAAGGTTTTTAACAGGGCTGGAGTGAGGAAATTCCTGATGTGGCCAAGCAAGAACTTTTGAATCAACGGCCTATGTAGAACACTCAGTTTTTCAAGCCTGCAGAGGCCTAGCCCAGGCAAGGCAACCCCCCTGATTCATGATCCGGCCGCCGCAGAACAATCCTGTTTTGCTATTGCTTTTGTTTGACTGTTGAGGGCGTAAAACACCTAAGCCCAGGAGCTTAAAGTCTAAAACGAAGCCTTAAAACCCTAACCTCAACCCTAAACCCTAACACCCTAAACTCAACCCTCAACCCTCAACCCTCCTAAACCCTAAAGCCCTAACCTCAACCCCTCTCCCCACTACAAAACCCTACAAGGAGTGTTGGGTGGCAGGCCATCAGCTGACCTACCTTGCGCGGGGGGGGAGGGAGGATATTTACCAAGAGTCAAGAGTCCCATTAGACCTCAGGTCTGCGCGCTGAGGGCCTCTTCCAGCGGTGCAGCCAGGAGGGCCTCCTCCAACACCTGCCAAGGTCCAGGCCAAGGCACTCTCGCAAGGAATACGACACGCCACTTCCATGCCCCAGGCCTGGGGTTCCATCCTATACAGCCACGATAGACACAAACAGATTGACGAATCCTCCTGTGACACCTACTTTTGAGCAAGAGCCTCAAGACGAGATCATGCAGGCAGCGAAGCTCAAGATACACAGCTTGAAAAAGCATTTTGCAGGCAGTCCAGCCGTTGCGGACGTTGCATTGACAAAAGCGACGACGTATCGAGATACCCTGCTTCGAGAGAATCTCGGAACGGCCTGGCCTGATCTGAAACAACAGCCAGAAAGCCTTGGGCACCTCACGGGTGATATCAGGACGGGCCAAAACGCTCATGCTACACGGACACCTAAGCCCTAAGCCCGACGTCGCGTGACATTGGGCAGCAGCCATCGCAACCAGCCCTACACGAATCT